AAACACCACACCATGAGAAATATTTGTTACTGGATGTAAATTTATGTCCATCACGAAACACCACACCATGAGAAATATTTGTTACTGGACATAAATTTATGTCCATCACAAAACACTACACCATGAGAAATATTTGTTGCTTGACATAAATTTATGTCCATCATGAAACACCACACCACAAGAAATATTTGTTACTGGACATAAATTTATGTCCATCACAAAACACCACACCATGAGAAATATTTGTCGCTAGACATAAATTTATGTCCATCATGAAACACCACACCATGAGAAATATTTGTCACTGGATGTAAATTCATGTCCATCACGAAACACCACACCATGAGAAATATTTGTCACTGGACATAAATTTATTACTACATTATTATTAATAAAGTTATCACTTGTTTTCCAGGGCAGATATCAAACACTTCATTGGCCCTCCGTCCGTCAACGCATGTTACAAAATTTATCACTCTTGTATGAATGAACTCATGAGGGTGAGTTAATCATAATTATCGATGAAAGAGTGTTAACATAATAATAAATATTTTAAATTCAATGCAAAATTGAGCTGATTAATATTTTGGCACTGAAAAAACCTCTTTACATTGGGTATTTGTTTTGCCCATTCTAGACCAACTTTCATTCCGTGAGAATAGGATTTTTTTTCATTTGCATTAAAACAAAGAAATAATACTCAAGGGAATGACACTTGGCCTGGAATGAGCAAACGTTACGCCTAAGGTAAAGAGGTCTTTACTACTGAGAGTGACAAGTCTAATTTCCTGATGAATTTAGCAAATAGACATCAGTTTTTTATGTGTCTGTCCTCTTATTGACGATAAATTGTGTCATCACATTGTCAAAGTAGTGTGGATCCATAAGGCATAGCTGACTTGATGACGTATGCTACTTTGACAATGTGATGACGAGATTTATTATTAAATTTATTATGTCTATTTGTTTTTTTACAATAACAAAAACGATAAAAACTTCTCATTTTTAGCAATCAAAACAACCAACAGAAAGAGCGTGCGCTCATTGACGTCAGCTTTATCTGTCTGTCCTCTTATTGATGATAAAAAATAACCAATCAGCGCGTGAGAAAATGTCTTGCAAAACAGTCCATTGCACACAAGTTTTAGTTAAAAGTTTCATATATAAATGCCATAACCTGATTTCATTGTTTCTTTCTGTAGACTGGAATTATTTCGCCGGCACAGCAGATCATTGATTTGAGGTTAGTGCATGTATTTGTTTTTTGTTTTTTGTTTAACTTTATACAGCTCAACGCCCAAACCGGTTGGCTCAGTTGGTTGAGCATCAGACTTTCATGCGGGAGGTCGTGGTTCAAGTCTCAGCCGGACCAACACTCAGGGTCTTAAAATAACTGAGGAGAAATTGCTGCCTTTGTAATTATATCTGCAAATGGTTAGACTTTCAAGTGGTTCAGATGACCACTTTAAATGGCGGTCCCGTCTCTCCACACTCATCATTACTAACCAACATCGGAGGGATGTAAAAGAATCATTGAGGACGTAAAGAAACCCCGGCAGTGACCTACCTCAGTGACTACACTTCATACTAACCATCTCTCATGCTTGTAAATTGCACAAAAAGCAACAAGTCATTCACAACTCAATGTAAAGTGCCTTTGATTATATTCATATAGAAAGGGCGTTATATAAATTCATAAATCATCATCATCAATTATGCCCACCCATAATAATGGAATCACATACTTTCATTTTGGCCTTCATCCAATAATAATAATAATGGCCGTTCTCATGTAGTGCATTTCCTAATCTATACAAGAACGGTTTTGAGCTTTCTGTGTACTCATGATAATTTTTTGAATAAAAAAATAACTTACTGGAATGTTTTATGAAGCACAAGAAGCAATTCTTTATGCACATGTTATGCACAGTCTAGCATGTGAGGAACAAATGGCTAGGGATATGTTGGAAGGCCTGAGTCCTGGTTGTTTTGTTCACTAACTGAATGACTTATAAAATTTCTTTTCAGGCAGTCCAGGGCTCGAAATAGGAATTTTTATTAGCCTGCCATAGTAAAGGAGTATGGTAAAAGGAGGTCATTCCAGTAAATTTTGCATGTCATTTTATCATTTATTTGCGCCTGCCAAACCTAAAATTTGGCAGGCCGCTATTTCGAGCCCTGCACTCTTATCTGCCTAAAAATGCTGCTCAACAATTTATAGCAAAGATTTTCATTTTCTTTCTATTCTTTTTTCCTTTCTTTCTCTTTCATTTACCACCTTCTTTGTGATTAAACCAGAGGGCTTGAAGTCTTAAGGTGAGTGTGTCTTCTAGCTGCTAAGTCTATCATGTTTATTATCTATAGAGCAGTTTATGTATGATTGTGAAAAGCTCAGTGCCTAATGCATGTCTTGGCATGACCGTGATGCTTTTTAAAATTTTGATTGGCAGATTTTTTACCTCTCAGTGCAATATGATTGATCTGGCAGTGCTCTGACCTTGCCGTCACCATGTCTGCATCATGGATTTGTACCATCTTTCGGCTATTTGATGGTATAGCATATGCCTTGCTGTGTACCTGTCCCACTTCTGCTCCTGCTCTGCTCTAACATCAGTCTTAACGTTGCATAATAACATTTTCTTTTCCAGATTTGTACATAATGATGCCACACACTTGAGTTTAGAATTGAAAGAAATTGCAAAGTAAGCATAATAAGGGGGTCCTCCCCTACACTGGGACCAAGTATCTGCTAAATTGTGTCGTGGGTGCCATTCAAAATTTAGGAAGCCCTTGTCAACACAAGTCAAGTGAGTCCTGGGACACATTTGGGTCCAAAGCATTGTGTCGTGGGTGTCAATCAATATTTAAAAAGTTCTTGTCAACACAAGTGTTTTGAGTACTGGGAAACTTTTGGATCCAAAGCATTGTGTTGCTTGTGACTATCAATATTTAAAAAATGAAGTGAGTCCTGGGATGCATCAAAATTGTGAAAATGTATGATTTCTGCATTGAATCCATTCCTGACTACAAGTAAAATGAAACTTTTGATTGTATAAAATGACAAAAAAAAAAAAAGAAAGAAAGATTGGATTATGGTTCTCATCACACAAACTCAAGACCATTATTCATTTTATCTTTTACAACTGTTCACTTTCAGGAAAAGTCAAGGTCTCAGTGGACGAACACTTCGAAAAATACCATTCCTTGCTCATGCACTCTTTTCGCAGGTAAAGACTTAAGATTATACAAACCCTCTTAACTGCAATTAACCTGGATCCCCCACTCACCTTAACTCAGGCCTCCCAGTATTCTGTTGATTTTAACCTTGTTTGAACATTCTGTTTTGCCTTAGACATCTACTCTTACACTGGAACAATTCCTAAACGCACTGGAGAGAACAGTAGAAAGACAGTTTCTTGAAAAAGAGAATCTACTAAATTGTTGATTGAAAAATTATTTCAAATAATACATTTCTTCTTAACATCCGCAATACGCCTCTTTAGCCTGGTCCTAATTGTTTCCCATTTTAGACCATGTGTTATTCTCTTGAGAATAAGATTCTTCGTTTGAGTTGTATCCATATTAATGGTCTTCTCATGTGCAACCGTTAAACAAAGAAATGATACTCTAGGGAATGACACATGGTCTGAAATGGGAAAACATTACACACAATTTATTCTTATCAGTTGCTATAGTGACAAGCTATTGATAATGTTACGTGACAACATTATCATAAAGCTATTACTGCACTTTTCATAGACAATTTATGTGAACTCTGTGTCTCCGGGTTGCACGCTGAAATTTGGTTCTTCGCTGCCGCTAGTCAAAAATATGAAAGGTACCGACTGATTAGTTTTAATTGATGGCAGCAAAAAAACAAATTTCAGCATGCAACTTGGAGACACAGAGTTTACATGCTTACGTCTTTTTTTTCCTGTTATGATTTTATATAATGACTCAATTCTCACGAGAATAAAAATGCAAATGGTTTACTATTGTCAAACTCTAACACCTAATATTCAATTATATATATGTATACATATCCTACTTTATATTGAAATAAAAGATATGATTGGGTTTAGTTGACTTACTGGTGCTTGAAGATGTTTTGTACTCTTCTTCAGATATTCTTGGTGTTGTAGGATGTATTGTATTCTTGGTGTTGTAGGATGTATTGTATTCTTGGTGTTGCAGGATGTATTGTATTCTTGGTGTTGCAGGATGTATTGTATTCTTGGTGTTGCAGGATGTATTGTATTCTTGATGTTGCAGGATGTATTGTATTCTTGGTGTTTTTTTTAAAACTTCACTGCGAATCCACCAGCCCTCCCCACCCCCAATACAAACTTCAGGGAATCACTTCAGATCCCAAAACCCGAGAAAAAAGGGGGTCCCCGTAGTAAAATTTTATTTTTTGCTAAATTCACAAACAAACCACAGGCAACCCAGACTGGATATTGTTCGCCCATTCATTTTGAAACTTCTAAAAGCTTGTCCAAAATTTTGCCAATGTGGTTATTTAGCGCATTATAAGAGGTGTTATTTATGTAAGTTGTATAGAAAAAGAAAAGCAATAACATAGAATAAAAGTAAAAACAGTAGACCGCTGACTAGGTGACTGCAGACTAGAATATTCCTTTACTCACAACACCATTGCTTTTATATAACTGAAAAAGATAGTTTTAGAAACGTAAACCCCTCATCTTTAGCTTTCTATACGCGTATATTTTACTCAAAAAAACCGAGATTTTAAGTTGGGACCTTCGAAAAATCGTGATTTTAGGGGTCGCAACTTCATAAGCCTCGTTTTCTATGAAATAATGCAAAAATTTCCAATTTCTTTGGGCCAAGATTTAAAGCTAAGAAAGGAGTTTTTAATACACATAGCGCTTTTTGAAAAAAAAGTCTTTAGTTATTTTTCTATAAAGCGTTTTTTGTCGATCATTGGATTTTGGGATCCCTGTGGTAAAAGAATAGATGTTCACGGACCAGAAATTTTTTTTTTTTTTGCGATAAATGATGTTTTATAACATCTTTCCTTAAGATGGTATGTGAATGAGCAAAATGTTGCATTTATTTTTTAATTTTGTTTTATAGAAAAAAGCGATTTTTACAATGTTGGTACAGAACTCATAGTACACCACAGGGATCCCATAATTTTTTGAAACTGAAAATTCCTGAAAATGAAAGGTTCTTTTTTAAAGCATCGTCATATTTCCTTAAAAGCCTTTTTTGGCCATTGCTTTGATCATGAAACACACTTCCTAGTTTTGAAGTATTTCTTTACTAAATATCGCTCTTTTTGCTTTTTTGAATGGGTAGACTTTGATTGAAAAGAGGGAATTTTCACAGTCAAAACAGCTATGTATTCACCACTAAAGCGCAGTTACGCTTTGGGAACATGAATATTGTCGCGGCTCTATGATTAAGCCGTGGTAATGAACTGTTATTTTGAGGAAAACGTCGCCGAAGGGGAGGTGGGCGAGGTCAAACATTCGCCTAACAATGACTGGTACGGTGCAACAAATGAGGCCGAAACCTAAAGTTAGAGAGTTTATAAGATTCTCGTTTACGGCAAGCGTGAAGCGTGAAACGTCAGTTGACCATTAAAAAGTTCTTTAAAAATAGTGAAAAGGAATTGCAGAAATCTCCAAGTAGTAGATAAACAAAAGTATACTTGTCTTTGTCGAGAAGGTTTGCAAAAGGTAAAGTGAAATGTAAGGAAACGATGAAAACGTGGTCATGTTTGCCGTTTGCGGGAAGGAAAAACGGGAATCTTAATCTGCCTATTATCTCACCGTCACTATCACACCTGAAAAAGCGTGCTAAAATGCCACGCTTACTCGTTTCATGGCTCTGTTTTAATGGTGAAAATAAAAAAACGTGGCTCGACTGAATCAAACACACACGGCCGAATAAATCTACACAGAACCTGACGGTGTCCGTAATTGAAATAAACGACATAAAACGACCAGAATAATCACCTTGATAACTGCTTGTCCCGTGTACCATGGCGTGCCTGTACGCTTCGGGAACGACACGGTGAAACCAAAGACAAAATCCGTCTTGCTCTGACTGGTACGGCGTAACTTAGCAAATGAGGCAAAATCTAAGATTTTCTCGCTTAAATATGCAACTGCCGACCTGGGCGTATGCAAATAATTGAGTGCTTTTCACCTTGGTATCACACCTAATAAAAACATGTAAAATTCCGCGCTTATTAGTTTCATGGCCGTTTCAATGATGAAAATAGTAAAATAAGCTTAATTTTCATTTGAGAGTGACAAGCCAAACTAGTTTTGTAAACCTAACGGGGGTAGGGCGGTGAAAGGCAATGCTCTATGTTCCTGACAGAACAAAGGCGTAAACGTTTTCCTCAGGTACATACTATTTTTCGCAAAATTTTTGATAAAATTTATTTATCGTAAAGAAAAGTCAGATTTCTAGCCATATCTAAATTTATTATTTTACCACAGGGATCCCAAAATCCAATGATCGCCAAAAAACGCTTTATAGAAGAGAAACTAAAGACTTTTTTCAAAAAGCGCTATGTGCATTAAAAACTCCTTTCTTAGCTTTAAATCTTGACCCAAAAATATTTGGACCTTTTGTTTTATTTCATAGAAAAGTTTCTGGTCTGCAGTCACCTAGTCAGCGGTCTACTGTTTTTACACTTTTCCATATTTTTCTATGTTTTTGCTTTTCTATTTCAATAAAAATTACATGAATAACACCTCTCATAATGCGCTAAATAACCGCGTTGAGAAAAATTTGAGAAGACTTTGTTAAGTTGGAAATAGAAAGGGCGAAAAAGATCCAGTATGGGTTGCCTGTGGTTCGTCTTTTGCAGGCGGCAGTAAAAGTAATGTATTTTTAGTCATAAAAATAAAAGCGTAACTTGCGGATCTTTTTCCAAATATGTGTAATTTTTATAGCTTTATAAGAATTTATTTTTTCAGAAATGTTTTAAGATTATTTAAGTGGCTCTCCCACAATAAAAAACGTATTTCCCTGATGATGATGATAGTTTCACTTTTAAAGTGAAACTATCAGAATTCATTAGAAATTAGATGATTTTTTTTTATTTATTTATTTTATTTTTTTTTATTTTTTTATATTTATGTGTTTTTGTTTTTTAT